TACTTGCTTACGATGTTTACAGTTGCACCTTTTTGTTGCATTTTACAGTTTTTCCCATGTATCTCCTGACCTCAGTTTTTGCCTTATGCCTTATATTGTCATCTTAAGCCTTTCTAAATTTAACTGTTTTATTAAAAATGTTGTTGTGTGTAATATAAAGTGTTGTTTAAATGTGCCATTTTATTGTGTTCTGTATTTGAATATATCTGTTATAAGTAAGGACTTTGTATGGGTTTGTGTGGTTTTTAAATTAAGAAAAAATATTGTGACTATGTAAAAATATCATAAAATATAATTAAAACTTACTAAATGAAATGTGAAGGCTTGCTTATTCTGATCATCACAATTCATCACACACAATTCAGCATTTCGTTTTACATCTGTCCATATAGTGACTCCTGACTGGTTTTCTCTGGCTATGTTTTGTCTATCTATGCAGTATGCTTATCATAGCCCTTGTTTTCAATAGTACTAAACACCATTTTTCAACAGGGGGCGACGATAGCATGTCTGAAACAGCTCCTACACACAATGAGCCGGATACGTTGTTTCTCAAAGCTGAAAGTAGGCCCTATGTTATTTTTTCAGTCGCATAATATGCATCAACAGTTATAAATAGTTCATTTATACGTGTAAACACTGTGTGTTCTCTATGTGGCATTATTAAAACCAGCCTTCACTGACTCAACCAATAGCGTGAGTTTGGGGGCGGGACTATCTGAATAACCGACCTATGGTTTGAAGACAGACTATTTTAAATTTTTTTGCAGAAAATGCTCACTTCATCTGATCATATGTATATCCCAAATCTAGCTTCTGTAATTGATAACTTCACTTCTGATTTATAACTTCTGATCTTCCTATTTACATATGAGGCCTTGTTCAGACTACTGCAATGACAAAATTTGATAAAAAATGTTTTCTTACTTTGTCATCAGAATTTAAAAGTTCTCTGATATTCCCTGCAATGTAAAAATGTCACAGACTTCCTTTAATATCACATTGCCTATTGTTATGTTACCTTCCACACACATAGACCTTCACTCCCCTTTCTCACAGTAAGTCATACATATCAATGAGATTATCATATCAAACAAAAACATCCACATGCTCACATTGCAGGGTTGAAAATACCCACACGCCTTTGTGTTTGATGATCTCACAATACATTGTTTGAAGTACACAGTTCTCTCACCAGAGCTACTGTCTCTGTAAAGATGAATGGACTGCTTCATCACTGTTTGATAGCATTAGCTATTAGCCCTGACTTTGGTTAGTACAATGACATTAGCCTCCTACATCCGCACTGTCGCTGATATGAGTGGGTGACTGTGAAACCTCCACCACAGAAGCACAAATCGAGTCTTATGAAGTGCTTCAGGGTGCTTATTAACACATATTTGAATTCAAGACAGTAAAAGTCAGTTAAGACAATAATTAAGCACAGTGCTATTGCTATTAATAGCGAACAAGAACAATGAGGCAAAGTGTGTTCAGTTCACAATGAAGAATAAAATGAATTTCAAATAATATTTATGCATATTATGAATGCATATGCATTACTCTGCCCCCACTCCCACAATGCAATTGGCATATAAATGAGTCATTCTATAATTTAGGGCGCATTTCATATCACTGATGAGATGTAGTGTGTGTACATATTTATATTAACTACTTTCTTCAGAAAATAGAACATTTTGAACACATTATTATAAGTTTCCTCTTGTTTATTTCAATATTTATCTAAAACAACCTTGTCATGGATATTAAAGCTGCAGTCTGTAAGTTTGGCCTCTTTGTCACCATCTCTGTTTGAAAACCTGCAATTGCAGTTGTGTGCGGAATTATCTTCCTTGTGTGGGTTGTGCAGCGGCACGGCTCCAGCGCGGATTAATCTAATGTTTTGAGGAGTATGTTTGGCAGTCAGTCACCGCACCGGTGTGGATATTGTATTTTGCACTCACAGATTCTAGCCTACGCATTACCATAAATCTCGCTACCAATGGTGATTAAATCTAAATTAGCTCATATCACATCAAACCGTGCAAATTATTATTATTGTTATACTTTATTCTCAAATTGTTAATGTTAACAACATCAGCATTGTGTGACTATAAGTATAGTGTGTAGATTTAGTAGATTTTAGTGTAGTTAATTTTAATTTTAATTAATTTTAGTAGATTTCAATTTCTGTACAGTCTCATCTCTAATTGTCATACCACTCGAATTTCATATTAAGAAATTCTTTTAACCCAAAAAGCAAATTATACTCCCTTCGAACTGGTTGTCGTTAAAATATAAATCTTGTGTAATCCCAGGCTATCTGTAATCAGAAGCACATTTATAACTGGAATATAATTTAATTTCATTCACATGTGTTTCATAAACACATAATCCTTTCTGTATTAGAATCCGCCATCAAAATTATACGTTTAATTATTCCAGCTGCTGTGAGAAAAGGCTATAA